AAAACCCCTTTTTGTTATCTTCATTGACCTCAATTGCTTGGCATTCTCCTTCATGGCAACATTTCCATGAGTTATATGGTACTACTGTGTCAAGTGCTGTTCTTTACCATCTCACAGAACAAAAGGGAAGGTGCAGGCAATACAAATGGAAAAACAAATTAAAAACCTCCCAGTGTCCTAACTAAAATCCTAAAATCCTTCCAGTGGCTTCTGGAGCGGTTCGCTATTGTTAATTTATTGGATTTATGACCCTTGTATTTTTCAAATTAGTGGATGAGTTATACTAAGATTGCTGGAAGTAGATAGCTATTATGAGCAATGAAAATACCCACTTAACTATGCTAGTCAGGATAAATGTCTATAAGAAAAATAAACCCTGATGTTTGGAGTATATGCCAGAGGTTATGAAAATTTCTTTATGGCTGTGCAGCAGCTATTATAGATATTTTTTTATTGGCATCATATTCCAGTGCACTTACTGCTGCTCAGTCTGAGAAAAGGACCTTACCTTGGAGGGACAGCTGGGAGTCTGATCCATGGTAGGAATTTGTACCTTCGCTCCATCTTCATCCTTTTTAAGCCATGGGAGGAGATTTCCTCTTTGGGCAGGAGCCAAATGAAGGTTGCAGCACCAGGCGAGGCTCGTGCTTTGGTGGCAGGGGGGAGATGTGCTCTGGAGGCTGCTACCCCAGCGGGACATGGGGGACACACAGGGGGGGTGTCACACGGGTTGTTTGGGAAGGCCCCATCCAAGAGCTCCGTCACTCCGCGATGCTGCTACGGGATGGATGGGACCGCTTATCCCTCCCAACGTTTGCTGGTGGGACAGTCACCGTTTGGATGCTAAGCAGAGAGAAGCCCAAGCTTTGTCCATGGTACAGTCCCTTGTAATCATAGAATCATAGAGTCATTACGGTTGGAAAAGACCTAATGTTCTCCTCGTACTGGAAAGAAAGGGCTTGAAAGAGCATTTGCTGAACTAATGCCTGCTGAGATGGCATCTTGCTTTTGGATGCCAAGCTGAATCTCATGGCACTGTTACCAGGTTTCACATTTGAAACAAAAGGCAATTGCACAGCAGATGTCTAGGTCTTTGTAAGGTACCCGATCTAACCCTGCACAGCATTTTGATTGAGATGTTAGTGGAATTCAAGGAAGATGAAAGCTGACTTGGGATTGCTTTTACGCCAGCAGGTCCCAGCCCTTCACATTAAGTCCGTCTCATTAGCACCACTGTAGTCTGCAACAGAGTTGTCTGAAAGTGGGCTGATTTTTTGTTTGTTTGTTTTAATCCTTATAAAGATTGCATTTTATTATTATTATTTTTTAAGAAATTGAAGCGTACTTGCAGTACACCAGAAAAACGTGTTTATACCTGTAGTATAAACTGCTTTTCCTTTTGATTGGTCTATGCCCCCTGGACCTCTCTGTATTCCAAAATAATGCCAGGCAGATGCTACCTGCCAAGGATTCAACCCAGTGTTTATGGTAGCATGGATAACATCAGATGACCAGATTTTCCTGTCTGTTTTTCTTTTCTTTTTTTTTTTTTTTTCCCTAGTCCTCATTTTTGACTGTGGCATATTATGGGAGTTTTCTATTTTTGACTTTGCAGACTGTGTTCCTGAAAGTTTAACGTTGCTGCTCTTTTCAAAAGAGCTGCTTTCCCTGCAGCTTTTGCTGAAGACGGCTGCTGGAGAACATCACGTCTGTGATCTGCAGAAGCCAGAGAAGAGAAGACCCATTTCCCTTCCTCCTTGAGCACAAGAAATGCAGGCCAGGATCTTAACAGAGCCCTGGTAAAACAGGGGACTTATGTAAACCTGCACAGGACTTAAGTCTTCTAAAGGATAGTTCTTTGCTTTGCTGCAATTTTGTCATCATTTGTCTTGGTTTTCTGGTCTTTTTTTTTTTTTTCTCCTCCATTGTAGTGATAGGTTATGATTAGTAAAGATAAATTAGGGTTTTTTTTTTTTCCTTTTCATAAACAGATGGATGTGAAAGGTGGGGTCTGCAGTACTCTTATTAGGTGCCCTAATGAAACTATCTATACCAGTCTGTAGAGTGTTTCTAGTCTTGCGTTTTCAGGCTTTCTTTCCCTGAGGTGAATAATCTTCACTCGAGTGATTGTCACCTGCTGGCCTCGGTGACAGACGCTGCTGCTGACGTTCAGTCTCTGTAGCCAGACTGATGGTCACAGTGTTTTAACACTGTCTGAGCTAGGAGCTCTCTCTTCGGGGCTAATATCTTGCTGTGCTGAAGCCAAATGCTTATGTTCTTCCTGGAAAACCTAAGGCAAAAGAGAGGGCGGATGGATGTCGGATAACTAATTTCTGAATGCTGTGAAGGAAATAGAGTATGAACTCTAAGCTCCCTCTGGTGGTTACGCTCTACAGTCTAATGCTTGTTCGGTAGCAGTTGCCCATCCAGGATGACTTTGAGAGTCTGAGTTGGTAACATACAATTATTGACATTTTAAGAATTAATATGGGGAGATGATGTGCCTTATGCTTTTACGGTGTGCCAAAGGTGGTCTATAATCCGACTTCAGAAATGCGGAATTTAAGAGTTGAAATAATAAAGTTAGAGCTCTTTTTCCTAGTTACTGTAAGATGGTATTTTTTGTCCAACAACTTCAGTGCTGCCATTTTCTCAGTAGTGCCCTAATTTGCAGCTGATGTCCCTGGAAGCCTCTGTCCTTATGTATGCAGAGCACTGGAGGGAGATGGGAGCTCTGTGGAGAACAGTTACTGCGTTAATGCAGAATTGGGCCAAGATCGGATAGCCCCTCATTTGCTGTCCGTGCTCTTATATACGAATATAAATATAAGTGACCCCAGCCATGCAAAATGTCCCTTCTTGTCACTTGTGCCCTAAGGATCCCCTCTGCCGTGGCTGTATTTTGTGAGGTGTTTCTGAACGTGCTGTCGCCACAGGGGTGACGATGCTCGTCTCCGTTTGTCCTCCCTCCTTGCGCTGTGTGTGCCGCTTGTCTGACACGTTGATGCCTGTCGAAGCAACAGGAGACCGTTCCCTTCCTCCCCCTCTTTTCTGGCAGGCTGGTTGGTGCGAGGGGGTGACAAGGCCGCGCAGGTGAGGGGCGAAGGCAGCAGGGCCTCTTCCTTTGGTGGCACTGAGGTAGTCGAGCAAGTCAGTCATCTCCAGCGCCTCATTCTTGGCTCTCATGAAACCTCCTTGGCCCAAGGTGTGTAGTCTGAGCGACTCCGGAGTAGTTCCACGATGCTGTGCAGAGGTGGTGGATTGAGTGTGCTTTAAGTTGTAACTGGTGCTGGAAAGAGCAGCCGTTACGTCCTGCGCCAGCACAAGCTCCTGCTGTCCTGGGGAGAAGCAGCCCTGGGGGGATTGATCATGGTGCAAAATAACCTCCTTTGGTGGGATGCCTTTTGGTTGTCACTTTTCAGTAACAACTGAACAAGCAGGGACTTCTTTTCTTGTTTTGGTCTGCTTGTTGCAAACGATACAAAAAATAATAAAAATAAAATAAATACATGCATGTCAAGCTGTAGCTATATCATTTGCCCCTAAAATTGGGCAAGAGGCATCTGCCAAGGTTTGCATGCTTGTTTGATGCCTTCCTCTAAATATTTTCCTGTGATTCAGTCTGGCTGCAGTTGCTGGGTCGTTGGGATCAATTTTTCCATAGCACAAACTGCAGCCCATAGCCCATAAGTTTTTATCACAGAAGCACCCTGAACATTTCCTCTGGGAGGCTTCTATTTTACATGTTTAAATTTGCTTAATAACTCAATAAAAGCTTAGGTTTTCTGGATTTCAAAGATTTGAGTTGAGGATGGACTAAGCTCAGTCTCAGCTGGTTGGACACGCAAACTCAGTGTCTGGAGGGTGTCCTGCTCCTCAGCTGCCTGTAGCAGAGCACACCGCAAGGGAAGAAGGATTGCAAAGGGATTTATCCTGCATCCAGAAGAGCAGGGACTTGCTTTCTTCTTGCTCTATTTCTTCCTTCTTTTGTGCTCCTCTCCCAGGTATTTCTTTTATGTGCACTTGCTAGTGCACATAAGTAAGTTAGCAATTTGTATGTAAGGAGACTGTCTATTAGGACTCCGTGATGAGATCACAGAATGGTTAAGATTCATTTAATCACATTATTGAGGAAATGATTGAGGAGCATCAGGTTTAATCTGGGTTATTGTTATCTTATGTTAACGTCTCATTCTGTGTTTTGTCAAGGGTGAAAGAATTAAATTTGATTTAATATATGTGTTTTATTGGTGGAAAATATATCTTTAGTTAAAAACCTCACTCTTTATGCTAAGGCCTTGGTGCCATTGCTCCAGGAGTAATATATAAGAGATGAAAGATGTGTGCAGTTTTCCTTGGGTTGCCAGAGGATAGCTAGGGCTCAGATTTGCAGTTTATAAGTTAAGCTCAAGTTTAATAACAGACTGTATAACCTGGAACTGGCTTTGTGGTTTCTGTGCAAACCATCTCACTGTCAACATCCTCCCGCTCCCAGGCTCTCCTTTCCATGAGCCCGTCGGTGCACTTTGCACTGCCTTGTCCTGTTGATTCCCTCCAGTTGTATTTGGGATTCCCTCCAGTTGTATTTGGTGCTGGGAACTTGTTCAGCTAAATTTCCAAACGGAAGAAATTGGAAAATATTAATGGTGAAGTTGAGCTTCCACTCACTCTGCAGGAGTTTCACTCCTGCATTAAACACTAGAGGGTGGTATGTTACTGCCAATGCTTTATTTCTAAGTGTTAGGCACGTTCACAATTTGTTTTGGGTTTATTGCACAAATAACTTTTCTAACAAATGTAGAGAAATGAGAAAAAAGTTGAGCCTGGGACTGAGGAGTAACGGGCAGTTGTAGCATGAGATAGCACTTGTTTTTGATATTTAACAAAGCAGATATTTGTAAGCTTGTAATATTCCTCAGAGATATTTGCAATTGGGATGTACTTTAACTGATCCTTAGTATTTAAGTAACTTTATTTTGGCTGTTTACTCTCAGGCACCACCTTCCATGGTCAATAATGAACAACGACAACATGCTGAGCACATATTCTTATCATTTAGAAAATCAAAATCGCCATTTGCTGTCTGCAAACACATTCTGGGTAAGTTTTAATAAATGAAGGTGTTAAACATATTTCTGTTTTATTACTAAGACAGTGCTGTTCTGCAGTTTGGAGTACGAACATTATTTTGACTTCAGTAAGGGGCAGATTTTGTTTGCATTTTGTTTGTTTGTTTTTTTTCCCACCTGCATTTCATGTTTTGTGCATTCGTTTCTGTACGGTATTTTTGACTCTGTTAGTTAATCAATTTGGCCAGAACTGATTTGCCAGGTCAATTCAGATTGGCCAGAATAACTGAGTTCAGATGGAGTCTCAGGAAGTCTTTGAGTCTTTGCTCAAAGCATGGTCAGCACTGAACTTGGACCAGGCTGCTTAGGGCTTTGTTCAGTTGGGTCTTTAAAACTGGAACACTTGAAAACAAATTTTTTATTTTTATTTTTTTTAACCTGGAGTAGTTGTCATAATTAAGATGATTGAGATTTCTGTTCTTTTAAGAAATGAAAGCAAATTTACAAATGGAAATGTTTTTTAAAATGCAAACAAAATTGTATTAGTAGAATACAATTAGTAAAATGATTTGTATTAGTAAAACAATAAGTTTGGGTGTTTAAACAGTACCTTGCACAGATGCATGTTAAGGCCAGACTTGTGCAGTAGCTTTCAAGTAGCACCTCTGTTGAGAGAGCGGGTCCCCCCTTCCTCACAGCCACCTTGCCCATACGTTGCATCTTGGCTGGTTCCACAATAACCTGAGTAATGGAGTGGCAAGTCAAGAGGCTAGGTTTAACCAGAGGGCCATTCCAGATTCGCTTTGCAAATGTTTGCACCGTATCTGGCTGGGAGAGCGGGAAGGCACCTGGATGCAGCAGGGAGAGGGCAGGGCTGCTCCTTTGGCATTAGGGTTTGAAGTCTTGGGGAAGCGACAGCTTAAATGTTTGCAGAGCGACTGGGCTGCACTAACCGGGGTGAAGGCCCTCAGTGCCCTTCTGGTGTGGTGTCTGTCAGGTGCAGCTTGTTCGGGTGGCTAAAGCCCTCCACTGATCTAGTCGGCCCGGCGCTGTTAGGGGCCTCTGGCAGGGCTGCCTCCTCACGGAGCTGCCCGGTGCCCCAGCTGGGCATTCCCGAGAGATCCGCTGGCACTACGGCTTCGTGCGCGTTACCAGGCCCTGCAGGAGCGTGGCAAGAGTCCCTTGGGGGCTGAGGGTCTCGCTGGGTTTCAATTGGGGCCCAACTGCTTCAAACAGTTAAACATTTTGGCCTGCTTGGTTGAAGTAGCATGGGACAGGCTCGAAGGTTTGAGGGGCTGGAGCTGCAGTGAAGAGAAAGAGCTAGGTAGGTGTCACCCTTTTATCAGAAATTTCTTGAGGGATCTCTGTGGAAACACTTCAGACTTGGTCATGCTGCAAGGCTTAAAAAAAAAAAAAAAAATCAAACACACCCAAAACCACCCAATTTTTGCCTCTGAGAGGCTTGCTAGAGTCTGGCAGGTGAATATTCTCAGGGATCCAGCTGCCCTCAGTACGTGGGGTTGCTGCCTGCCACCTCTGTGCTGCCCCGATGTGAGCGTTGGGGGACACAGGAGGGAGCTCTTGGAGAAAGGCTAACCCCAAAACCGGGTCAGAAAAACCTTGATATT